GGGGGGGTTGGCTCAACCTCTACCGCTTCTGGCAAGAAGGTGGCTTCCACAACGTCCATCACATCATGGCTCGCAAGTTCCAGCAGTTCGGGCCCATTTACAGGTGAGGTGGACTCTGGTCCCGGTTCCTCCCCCACCCCTACCCCCCCTCCCCATTTCCTCCAGTTTCCCAGTCTGCTATTCCCAGCCCTGATCCAGGAAAAAGTCGAGGGAGGGGGGGAAATAGGAGGGGGGGGTGATGCCACGGTGCGGGATGAGAGGGGGTCTGCCCATCCCCCCACCCCCCAAACTCCTTGGTGGTTGGGGGGGGACACTCCAGCACCCCCACATTGTGCCTCCTTGAACCCTGGGGGGGCCTGATCCTCTCTGGTGCTGAGCCACTGTGTCCCCTGTGATGGGACCCACGGGCAGGATTTTGGGGGAGGGGGTGCTGGGGGAAGGTGGTTGATTTGGGGAGGTGAAGAAGGTGCAGGAAGGGGGGGCCCAGGGTGAGGGGCTGACCCCCCCCAACCCCTACCCTGACAGGGAGAAGCTGGGTGTCTACGAGAGCGTGAACATCATCAGCCCCCGGGACGCTGCCACCCTCTTCCAGGCGGAGGGGACACTGCCCGAGCGCTTCAGCGTCCCCCCCTGGGTGGCTTATCGCGACTACCGCAACAAGCCCTACGGTGTTCTCCTCAAGTGAGTCAAGAGAGGGTGTCCCCTAAAAATGGGGGGGTCCCAGATCCTATCCCAGGAGCCCCCACGCACGGGGTGGTAGGAAGCTGGAGCATCAAGAGGGTGATGGGGACGTGTGGTTTGGAGGGTGGGATGGATGGATGGATGGATGGATGGATGGCCCTACCCTGACAGGGAGAAGCTGGGTGTCTACGAGAGCGTGAACATCATCAGCCCCCGGGACGCTGCCACCCTCTTCCAGGCGGAGGGGACACTGCCCGAGCGCTTCAGCGTCCCCCCCTGGGTGGCTTATCGCGACTACCGCAACAAGCCCTACGGTGTTCTCCTCAAGTGAGTCAAGAGAGGGTGTCCCCTAAAAATGGGGGGGTCCCAGATCCTATCCCAGGAGCCCCCACGCACGGGGTGGTAGGAAGCTGGAGCATCAAGAGGGTGATGGGGACGTGTGGTTTGGGGGGTGGGATACTCTGCAGGGGGGATGGATGGCTGGATGGATGGATGGATGGATGAAGGGATGAAGGGATGATGGATGGGGTGGATAGATGGGTGGAAGGATGGGATGGATGGATGGATGGATGGATGGATGGATGGATGGATGGAGGGATGGATGGGGTGGATGGATGCAATGGATGGATGAAGGGATGATGGATTGGGTGGATGGATGAGATGGATGGATGGATGGATGGATGGGTGAAGGGAGGGAGGGATGGGAATGGATGGGATGGATGGATGGATGGATGGGGTGGATGAAGAGATGGATGGATGGATGAAGGGAGGGAGGGATGGGAATGGATGGGATGGATGGATGGATGGATGGGGTGGATGAAGAGATGGATGGATGGATGAAGGGAGGGAGGGATGGGAATGGATGGGGTGGATGGATGGGGTGGATGAAGAGATGAATGGGATGGATGGATGGATGGATGGATGGATGGATGGATGGATGGAATGGATGGGGTGGGTGGATGGATGCAATGGGGTGGATGGATGGATGGGGTGGGTGGATGGATGGGTGCAATGGATGAATGGGGGGGAAATGCTGCTGACCCGCCACCCCTACTTTGTTGTCCTGCAGGACAGGGGAGGCCTGGCGCTCGGACCGGCTGATGCTGAACAAGGAGGTGCTGTCGCCAGAGGTGGTGGAGGGCTTCGTGCCCCTGCTGAGCGAGGTGGGCGAGGACTTTGTCCGGCGGGCGCGAGCCCAGGTGGGGAAGAGCGGCCGGGATCGCTGGACAGCCGACTTCACCCACGAGCTCTTCCGCTTCGCCCTGGAGTGTGAGTGCCAGGGGACCGGCCACCCCAACCCAAACCTGGGCTGAGTCCTTCTCAGAGGTGTCCCTCCCTGAAAAAACCTCTTTGGAAGGTGCCCGAGATGGGTCACACGCTGTATTTCATAGAATCATAGAATGGTTTGGGTGGGAAGGATCTCAAAGACCACCCAGTGCCACCCCCTGCCCTGGGCAGGGACACCTCCCACCAGACCAGGTTGCTCCAAGCCCCCTCCAACCTGCCCTTGAACCCCTCCAGGGATGGGGCAGCCACAGCTTCTCTGGGCAACCTGGGCCAGGCTCTCACCACCCTCACACCAAACAAGTTCTTCCCCACAGCTCAGCTCCATCTCTCCTCTTCCAGTTTCCAACCCTTCCCCCTCCTCCTAGGGCTCCCCTCCCTCATCCAGAGTCCCTCCCCAGCTTTCCTGGAGCCCCCCTTCTTGAGGGACTGGAAGGGGCTGGAAGGTCTCCCCGGAGCCTTCTTCTCCAGGCTGGACACCCCCCCACTCTCTCAGCCCCCCCTCCCAGCAGAGGGGCTCCAGCCCTCCCAGCATCTCCTGGCCCTCTGCCGGACCCCAGCTTTCCCCCAACTTCATCCTCAGTGAGGGGCAAAGAAGCTTCTCCCCCAAAGCTGTAGGGTCTAGAGGGACGGCCTCTCTCCAGAGTAGTAGAGAACAACTCAACCCCTTTGATAAAACAGTGTTTTACCATCTACTGGTCATCAGCTGGTAGGCAAGGGGTGCCTCTATGGCCCCATGGTGCTCAGAGCGAGCAGGAGGCCATACCAGGTCCCTGTAGCCGTGGAAAGGCTGGAGTTGGCCATGGGATGGCGGGGGGGATGGGGACAGGATGCCCCCCTGGGCAGGTAGCCTGATGGGTGCTGTGCTTGCAGCCGTGTGCCACGTGCTGTACGGGGAGCGGTTAGGGTTGCTGCAGGACTTCGTGGACCCCGAGGCCCAGCGCTTCATCGACGCCGTGACTTTGATGTTCCACACCACCTCCCCCATGCTCTACCTGCCACCCACCCTCCTCCGCCACCTCAACGCCAAGACATGGCGGGACCATGTCTGGGCCTGGGATGCCATCTTCACCCAGGGTGAGTGCTCCTCCTCTCCTGAGACCTCTGTGCATCACCCAAGGTCCCTTTGAGGGCTTGGCTTCATAATGCAGCATCATCTCACCAGCCTGGAGACCTTCTCCTGGGGCCACCAAGGCCAGGAAGGCTTTCCACATCTGAAGCTTGTGAGATGGAGCAGTGGGGAACCATCCAGGAACAATGAAGGGCAACTGGTGGGCATCACATTAAGGGGAGAAAGTCTACCAGAGGGGCTTGTGGGCTTGGAGAGCTTTCGGCATCTGGGACAACCTTCCTGGGGGGGTGTCTTCCCCTGGGGCATCCTCTGTGCCCACCCAGCCACATCCAGGGACCACCGTCCCAGGTTGCTGCAGGGACAACTGTGCCAGAAAAGCCACCGGCATGGGGCAGTGATGTCCTAAGGTGCCACATCTGGTGCCTCCCTCCTCCACCGTGGCCCTGGGAGGAGGAAGGCCATGCCCACCGTGTCTCCTCAGCGGACAAATGCATCCAAAACGTCTACCGGGACCTGCGGCTGCAACGCAAGAGCACCAAGGAGTACATGGGCATCCTCTGCAGCCTCATCATGCAGGACAAGCTGCCCTTGGATGACATCAAGGCCAGCGTCACCGAGATGATGGCAGGCGGGGTGGACACGGTAAGGAGCAGGCAGGGTCGTTGGGCAGGGAGAAGGTCCTGGCTGGTGTCGAGCTTTGCTCCTGTGCCCCGTTCCAGACCTCCATGACGCTGCAGTGGGCCATGTTCGAGCTGGCACGGTCCCCGGGGGTCCAGGAGCAGCTACGGGCAGAGGTCCTGGCCGCCAAGCGAGAGGCAGCAGGGGACAGGGTGAAGATGCTGAAAACCATCCGGTTGCTCAAAGCTGCCATCAAGGAGACGCTCAGGTGAGGAAGACACCTCATTCCCCCCCTCCAAAAAACCCACCCCCAGCCCCTTTCCTCCCCAAATCTGGTGCTGCTGAGGTGTCGTGTGTCGAGGTGGGACATGGGTGGGCCAGGCTGTCCCCAAAAATGAGTTCTGTGGGTCCTGTCTCCCCTCCCCAGGCTGCACCCGGTGGCGGTGACCCTGCAGAGGTACACCATGCAGGAGGTCATCCTCCAGGACTACCGCATCCCCCCCAAGGTGAGCACGGCCACTGGGATCCCCTCCTCACCCAAACCCCTCTTCACATGGGGTGGAGGTGGGACTTGGGTGGTTGACCTGGAGGGAGCATCTGCGGGGCTCATTTGGGCTGGACCTGCACCCCAGGTGGTGGTGGGGAGCCCAGCCCCATTGGGACCAATCCTTTCTACCCCCTTGCCAGACGCTGGTGCAGGTCGGTCTGTACGCCATGGGCCGGGACGCCGAGGTCTTCCCCAAGCCGGAGAAGTTCAGCCCCCAGCGGTGGTTGGCAGCGGGTCCCAAACACTTCAAGGGGTTGGGGTTTGGTTTTGGACCCCGCCAGTGCCTGGGACGCCGGATCGCTGAGCTGGAGATGCAGCTCTTCCTCATGCACGTGAGCATCCCGCTGATGGGGACACCATGGAGGGGAAGGGACCTGGGGAGGTGGCAGAGGGTGTTGGTACCTCCAACGTTTTCCATCTGCTCTTTTCTCCTCCGCCCCAGATCCTGGAGAACTTCAAGATCGAAACCATGAGAGCGGTGGAAGTGGGGACCAAGTTTGACCTCATCCTCATCCCAGACAAACCCATCTACCTGACCTTACGGCCGCTCGAGTCCCAGGTGGTGTGAAAGAGCCCCATCCCGGGTTGACACCCAGTTTTTTGGGGGGGGGTGTCATCCCCAACATCTCCTCCCGGCCAGACTCCATCCCGGGGATGGGATCTGGGGGACAACTGGGACGCTTTCACGGCCACAACCTTGGCTTGGCACATCCCTGCCTTCGCTCCAGCCCGCTCAAGGCTGTGGTTACACCACGGGGAGGGGGGGTGGGGGAGATAAACCAGAGCAACCCTCTAACACCCCCCCCTTCGTCCCCCCACCCTGGGGACCGACCGCAGCCACATTCCCCCAACACCCTCTAACGTTTCGCTTCGCCTCTGATTTACTCCATCCTCTACATCGTGCCAAAAAAACCACCATCTCCTTTTTTGCCAGCGCTGGGTTTCTTGGTCTCTCTCTCGCCGGGGGTGGGTTTAGGGCAGGGGGTGTGCCAGGGGCTGGGGTCTTCTCGGGGTGGCCGTGGAGATGGCCAGCAGGTTCTGCTGAGGAAGGGGAAAAGATCTTGGGGAGCTGTAAATCCATAAATCCATCCCCACCTTCTTCCTTCCCCTCCCCACTCCCCTTGGGGGCATCCGAAAAGTGCCATAAGGGGGTCTGGGGTCGGGGGGGGGATATTGTGTCACCCTGGGGGGGCTTCCTAGGAATGTTGGGGGTGGTGTCTGAAAACCTAGGGACCACCTTGGCCAGGGGATCTGAGGCAAATCCCCCTTGATGGGACATGGAGATCCCCCCCTCCCCATCTCCCCCACCCCATCTGCCTGGGGGCAGTGGGACGGCTCTAGACCCCTCACTCCCAGCCCCTGGCAGCAAACACCAACCCCATGTGGGGTGGTCCTGGGGTGTGTGTGTGTCCCACCAGCCCCCAGGTGCTCACCGAGGTGGGGTCGTGGGGGAACCCATGCTCCTGCTCCAGCAGACGGGTGCCCAGCTCCTGCTTCTCCCGTCCCCACCTCCTTGCTGCCTCCTCCAACTGGGACAGACCCAAACCAGGCTTGCTCTCTCCAAGACATTTTGGGGAGAGGGGGGAAACACAGAGGTGTCCCCCCCCCACCCCAAGCCCCCCACCATCAAGTGAGGTGCTGGAAAGTTGATGCCCACCTGCCTCTCCAGCACCCTCCCACGGGCTTGTGCCTCCTCCAGCCTGGCCAGCAGAGACAGCTTCTCCGTGCCTCCAAAAGCACCCTGTGACCCACGAGATGAGCAGGAGTGGGGAAAAACAACAAGGGGGGGGGGAGGAGGAGGGGTGGAATAACCCCCCCTTCCCACCCCCTGCTCATGGGGGGAGAAAGCCACGGGTGTGGCTATCACCCCACAGTGCCGGAGATGCCACCTGGGTGATGTCCCCATCATGCCTGGTTACCCCAAGCATTGCTTTATGGGGTTCTACAGCTCTGTCCCCCCACCCCAGCACCATGTCCCCCTCCCGGGTCTCACCGTCAAGGCTGGGGGCCGTGGGGCGATGTGGGGAGAGGGCTGGGGGGGTCTCGCCAGCTCCTCCCGCAGCCTGCGGTTCTCAGCCAGCAGCGCGGCGTACACCTCCCCGGAGAGGGCTTCACCTGTGGGATGGGGTGAGGTGGCCACCAGGATGTGTCCTACACCCCCCCTCCGTGCAGAGATGGGGGCTAGGAGAAAGGTCCCACCTTCCCCATGCCCGGGGATGGGTAACAGGGGGCTCAGGACCTCCTCTGGTCCCCCCGACACAAACCACCCCATGCTGTGACCCACGAGATGAGCAGGAGTGGGGAAAAACAACAAGGGGGGGGGGAGGAGGAGGGGTGGAATAACCCCCCCTTCCCACCCCCTGCTCATGGGGGGAGAAAGCCACGGGTGTGGCTATCACCCCACAGTGCCGGAGATGCCACCTGGGTGATGTCCCCATCATGCCTGGTTACCCCAAGCATTGCTTTATGGGGTTCTACAGCTCTGTCCCCCCACCCCAGCACCATGTCCCCCTCCCGGGTCTCACCGTCAAGGCTGGGGGCCGTGGGGCGATGTGGGGAGAGGGCTGGGGGGGTCTCGCCAGCTCCTCCCGCAGCCTGCGGTTCTCAGCCAGCAGCGCGGCGTACACCTCCCCGGAGAGGGCTTCACCTGTGGGATGGGGTGAGGTGGCCACCAGGATGTGTCCTACACCCCCCTCCGTGCAGAGATGGGGGCTAGGAGAAAGGTCCCACCTCCCCAGTGCCCAGGGATGGGGGCTCAGGACCTCTTCTAATCCCCCTGCCACAAACCACCCCATGGTGCAAGCCATCAGAAGGGGATGGCCACCAGTGGAACCCAGCAGATCTATATGGGTCCACCCTGTCACCACTTGCACCCACCCGCTGGTTTCTCAGTGCTCCTGGTGGCCCCAGTGAGCTTCTCCTGCAGCACCCGCTCCATCGCCTCGATCACCTGCGGGACAGAGCATGTCCCATGTCACCAGCTCAAAGCCAGGCTGTGGTGACCATCACATCTCCCCAGCCACCGCGGTCCTGGGACTGGGTGATCCTCGTGGAGAGGTGGGAATGGGTCAGGGGGTCCCGTCTGCTCCACAATCTCATGCCCCCTACAACCTGCCTTTCTCATATCCCCCAGCTCACCTTCTCCTGCTGCCGCACTGTCTCCTCCAGGCCCTTTGTCTTGGCCACCTTCTCCTGGCACCTCCTCAGGGTGGCTTGCTGCTGCTGGTGGGCTCGCTGAAGCAGCAGCAGGTCCTTCTCCCGGTCATTTTTCTGGCAGGGGTAGAAGGGGAAAAACCCCCAGGGACCTCCGTGACGAGCCTCAACCCTTGGGGCGTTCCTTGTAGGGCTGGGAGACCCTCAGAGTGGGGGTCCTGGGTCTCTCAGGCTTTTGCTTGGCTATGGGGGTGTTGTGGTGTTCTGACTGCTGTCCCCCCCTGCTCCTCCAATCCCACCCCACCCCTCAGGGAGCCTCTGCTGGTGTCCATACCCGGATCAGCTCGTTCTGCAGCCGTTGGACACGGTCCTTCAACCTCTTCATCTCCGCTGTGCTGGCCACAAGCTTGCGCTTGAGGGTGGCTGCAACAGCCCGTGCCATGCGTTTGTCACCTGGCCAGGGGACGGTGTGGTCCCCTCCACTGTGCCAGGGAGAGGGGTCCCCCAGTTTCCACCCACCCTCCCCCCCTTCCCTGTCACGCACTGAGCCTATCCAGCAGCTCCTCCCGGGTCATGACATCCAGGTCCACGTCGGCCAGCAGAGAGTGGCCCAGCTCCTCCTGCGAGGCCAGGCTGCGCCGCAGGTGCCCGTTCTCCACCTCTAGGCTGGTGACATGCTGGCGCAGGGACAGGAGGTCCCCCGCCATCCGCTTCAGCGCCAGGCGGTAGCTGCCTACCTCCTGCCAGCCCAGAGCAGAGCTGCTGGCACCCTGCTGCCAGCCAGGGCTGCCCCCAACACCAAGAGCTCAGCTGAGGAAATCTGTCAGACCCACCATGAAGGAGCTAAGAAACATCCAGGTCTTCCCCTCCTCTTGCAATCTCCATCCTTCTCTTCCTCATCCATCCATCCATCCATCCATCCATCCATCCATCCATCCATCCATCCATCCTTCCATCCCTCCTCCCTCCTCCTCTTCCCCAGCCATTCTTCTCCAACCATCCTTCTCCTGCCATCTATCCTTATCCATCCATCCATCCTTCCATCCCTCCTTCTCTTCCCCAGCCATTCTTCTGCAACCATCCTTCTCCTGCCATCTATCCTCTTCTCCAGCTGTCCATCCTTCTGTTCCCCATCCATCCATCCCAACATCCATCCATTCTTCTATTCTCCATCCATTCACCCATCCTTCTACTCTCCAACCATCCATCCTTCTACTCTCACATCCATCCATTCTTCTATTCTCCATCCATCCATCCTTCTACTCTACAACCATCCATCCTTCTACCCTACAACCATCCTTCTACTCTCCATCCATCCATCCATCCACCCATCCTTCTACTCTCCAACCACCAATCCTACTCTACAACCATCCTTCTACTCTTCATCCATCCATCCTTCTATCCATCCTTCTCTTCTCCAATTATCCATGCTTCTCTCCTGTCCCCCCAAACTTTCTTCCCTCCATCTGCCCACCTCCCCCTCCAACCCCCATTTCCCCATCTCTTTCTACCACCCCTTTGGTGGAAAAACAACTCTCCCAAGGACGTGGTGTGGAGCAGGGGCAGAGCTGGGGGTCAACCTCAAGTTCTGAGCCTTATGGGGCTTTGCAGGTCTTTAGAAGAAGGGAGGTGGTGAAGAATCTCTCCCAAGGACGTGGTGTGGAGCAGGGGCGGAGCTGGGGGTCAACCTCAAGCTCTGAGCCTTATGGGGCTTTACAGGTCTTTAGAAGAAGGGAGGTGGCGAAGAATAAAGGAGGGATGAATGTTTTATACAGATGAGCCTGGGGTTTTTTAGCACCCGTGCGGCTGGGGAACACCTTGCTGGGTGATGCTGGTGGGGGGGTCTGATGCTGGGGGTCTACATCTTCTCAGGCTGAGCCTCCTGAATCCCTCCCTGCCCTGCTGGGCTGCAGAGAAGATCCTGGCAGCCAGGACCTTGGCTGGTCAGAGCCACGTGCCTCCAGCTCCCCCGTCCCCCCGCTCCCAGCCTTGGGAATGGCCTTGGCGGGGGGGGCTGGGGCACGGGAAGGGGGTGCAACAGCATCACGCAGCCTTGGGGAAGGGGGGGGTGGAAAGGGTGGGGGAAGGTGCAGCCAGAAGCTCAGCTCCTTCCTCCCCATCTGCCCGAGAGCTGCTTCATCCAGGACTTGGTTCATGCCCAAGGTAAAGCCCCCTCCAGCAACATCAAGAGCTGACCTCCCCCCAAGACCTTCACTCAGTGGTGACGTGGAGCCAACAGCAGCCTGGCTTCCATCCCCACAGGAGCCAGGACCTGCCTTGGGGACACTGCTGTCCCCACCCCAGTGTCCCCAGTGCCCCCCATTCCCTCCATCTCCCCAGCACTCACTGGCTCCTGCTGGTCCCCGGTGATCTCCTGGGACCTGCAGAAGAGAGAGTTGGGGGACACCCTTGGCCAACTGCTCCTGGTGGAGGGAAACACCAGAAAAACCTTGGCTGGGGAACCCTCTGTAGGAGACAGGAGCCTCTTTGGGGTTAAGGGGGGACAAGGCGAGTGCTGGG